TTGGGGTCATACGGTTGATGATATAAATCCTGCGTTAGCCATAACAAGGCATATACCATAATTCCCATAGTTCAGGCTCCTTTGAGTAATGCCGTGTTCGTATCATCGTAGGACCAGGGTTCCTTCATCAGGTTCAAGAATAAGCCTTTCTGGTCCAGGATTTGGGCTGCAGTGAGAGTAAATAGAGGGGCCTTAATAATTTGAATATGGTTCTGGGGCCCATTATACCATAATTATAGTAAGGAACCCCGAAAATAGTATTGGCAGTTATTTAGGCCCCTACATTAAGGGTTTAGGGCTTTGTGAGAGTTAAGGGGTTTCGTGAATACCGCAGAGCCTTTTCAAGAATATGGAAGGTTAAAAGGAGGTGATTTCGGGTTTAGGGATTTAGGGGTTCAGGGTTTCAAGTTGAGAATTGTGGATTTCAGCATGTCCGTTTTCTTGTCCCAACAGCCGCCCACGCAGCAGAGCCGAGTAGCGTAGAAGCTAGCATATCTTCGAATCCCTAAACCCTAAACCCTAAACCCTAAACCCTAAACCCTAAACCCTATACCCGAACATCTTCTGCAGGAAACGCTGGACGAGCTGTTGGACTATACGCGTGCCAAAGAAAGTGCGGAAGCGAGGCTGGTGGAGATCGTCCCAACTGTGAAGCTGATGAAGGACGGCGGGCTTGTCATTGGGTTCCTTCGAAGGGTTCTAGAAGGGTACGGTTTAGGGTTTAGGGTTTAGGGTGTAGGGTTTTGCCAACTGCTTTAATGTAGGGGCCTTAGTAATTAGAATATGGTTTCGGGGGTTTCATATTTTGGTGATTTTATGTTAAACCCCAGAACCCTACTCTCATTATGAAGGCCCCTATATTAGGGTTTGAGTGCTGAAGCTCCAATCTTTCCTGTATTCTGCATACCCACAGTCGGTATACTTCCCCTAAACCCTAAGCCCTGAACCCCAAGCCCTAGACCCTGAACCCCAAAGCCTGAACCCTAAAACCCTTAAAGGCCCTAAACCCTGAACCCTGAACCCTGAACCCTACACGGCCCTGAACCCTTAACGGCCCCAAACCCTGAACCGTACACCCTGAACCCTAAACTCCCTCAGCCCTGAGCCCTAAGCGGCCCTAACCCCCTAAAGAGCCGGTGCTCCGGCATGCAGAAAAATGGGGACCATAGAGTTGTTTGGGTTTCAGATTAGGGCGTTAGGTCGTAAGGAGTTTTGGGGTTTAGGGCTTTAAGGTTTAGGGTTCAGGGATTTAGAGGTTTGGGTTTAGGGCTTTAGGGGTTTCGGGTTTAGGGGCTTTAGGGGTTTGGGGGGTTTTAGGCGTTTTCGGTGGTAGCGGTTTAGGGTTTAGGGTTTGGGGCTGCGAAAATGTAGTAATTACCATGTGTGGCTCTCTCTTTGTCGCCTCTGTCCCTCTCTGGGTCGCTGTCACTCTGTCGGTTCATCTCTCACACAGACACACGCATGGCAATGTATCTTAAGTCGCATATGCCGCATAAGCGTGAGATACATTGCTTACATCGTGCACAAACTGTTTGTTTGTTTTTCGCGGGGCCCACATTGTTGTTAGCATGAGAATTACACTTACTGCTACTACCACTACTACTACTACTACTACTACTACTACTACGACTACTACTACTACTACTACTACTACTACTACTACGACCACGACTACGACTACGACTACGACTACGACTACGACGACGACGGCGACGACGACGACGACTACTACTACTACGACTACTACTACTACTACTACTACTACTACTATCACCATCACTATTGCTACTATTGTTACTGCTACTTTGAGGAGTTGATTCAGTCGACGACCTTGGGTGAGTGGACCACCGACCGGCGCCTGAATTTTCAGCAGCTCACTGTCGAGATGCTGTCTCAGCAGAACACCGTGAATCGATTAAGGATTCCATCAGAGCACGAACTTTTGAATGCTGGCTATCGGCATGCACACTTGTTCTTTCCTCCCATCGTGAACTCCACGCTCATGTTACAGCATTTCTTGGAAAGAGCCTCAGAAATGCTGGAGGAGGTGGATGTGCCATCTTCTCCGACAGACGAGACTATCGATATGTTCGGGTCGATGCAGGAGATGATGGAAATGGCCGCTGAAAAGACTTGCGACGCCGTTGTCAATTGCACTGGCTTGGCTTCTCGCAAGCTTTGTCACGACGACCATATGCTGGGGGCAAGAGGAATTCTGCTCCAGTACGACAGAGAGACAGTAGAACGTCGGCAGTCATTCGTGGCAGGGCACGACAGCGATCAAGCGAATACAAACGATGCCGCCATAATGGTGGAGCATGCCCCCTGGGGTAGTGATTCGCTGCCATGCTATCTGATTCCTCGTGGTTCCACTATCGTGGTGGGTGGCAGCTACCTGGAGCAAGATGCACGGGAGACCATCTCAGACGAGGAGAGAGTAAGGCTCTTCCAGAACTCTTTCAATCTTGGGATTGATATCGACAAGAGCACCCCTACTTCGCAGTGGGTAGGTTTTCGGCCCTACAGGCCAACAGTCCGGTGCGAAATTGACTCCAGTTTGACTGATTCTCCCATCAAGCTCATCCACAACTATGGCCATGGAGGTAGCGGGTGGACCGTCAACGTAGGAGCAGCGAAGGAATGCGCGTCGCTGGTACACGAAGCACTGAAGGAGTGAAGAAGGTGATCCTTGAAAGCAAGCCCACCATTTCGATTCTATGGTTCGTTCATTGAAACTGCACTGATACGAAATTGCAATTTCCTACAGTAAAGGTCAACGGGCTGGTCCAGGAAACTGGTTAAGAAATCCATTGTTCTTATCCCGGCTTCCGCTCTTCACGTAAGATAGTGAGAATGTGAGGGCTTGTGGCGGGATCCTCAGGAACATTCGTGAGTGTGCACTATCGTGCGTATGCTCAACGTTTTACAAAGCCTGCTTTATTTGGATCATAGATCTGCATCAAGGCCTTAAACTTCAACGCCTAAACTCAACACCTTCAGCCCTACGTACCACCCCTGGCGAAGTGCCGAAGCCCTCACACCCGAAACACGGAACGCCTATACCTCAACCCCGTATACCCTCGACCCTGAAGCCACGGACCCCTAACAACCAGTTTTTCACTGTCGACTCCCATATGGAAACTTAAGGCTACATTCCTCAACAAGACCTATATGGTAGCTAAACCCTAAACCCTAAACCGTCTTAAACTACGCTGCGCAACCTGAACCCAGAATGGGGTAAACCCTAAACCCTACACCCT